CTCTCTCTCCCAAGAAAATGTTTACCCACTTATTCAACGTGTGCTCCTAAGATAAGTTCACTAGTAATTAAATTAAAAAATGCTTCGTGAAACCCGATAATTAAGTAGGAGGTAATTAACGATCCGAGCTCGATTCGACTAATGGAGCAGAAACTTCATTGTAGAATTGTAACTATAAGTAGATACGAACCCATTCACAAGAACGACTTGCAGCATCTACTTATACATTTACATTTGTATCTTTGCTTACAGTTCTGTATCTACTACTTCTACTAGTCAGGGATGAACTTTAAGTAGGTCTACTCTTATTTGCTTTTATATTTTAGCTAAACATTTATATATCACTAAAAATCACCTATACATTGTTTGGAAGTAATAGGTGAGCCCTATCGCTTACGAAGATGTTCTAAAGATAGTGACTTCATAATTTCATACTTATTGTTTTAGTCTAGTCTTATTCAATTAATTTTATAAATATCAATGCTTATTAAAGTCCTAAGGTAAGTGCCGTAGCGCCCTGTTATTAGCGGTTCTTCTGACTCGTTCAATTTAATTAATAAAGACATTATTGAGTATAGGAGTTACCCGTCCATTATCAGACCAATTAAGACATCGCATCGTTCAGTCGGGAACTCGATCACAGAACATAATATCTTTTAGCGGGTGCTTTCATCGACATATAAAACATGCATGCATACTCGTGCATGCATAAGAATTGGGATGAATACTTGCATGCGTATGCAAGCACTCTATCATTTTTTTTTAAGTAATTGAAGAGTCTGTTGTCTTAATAATTATTCAACTATACCTCGTATCGATACCAACCCTCGTTCGTGACAATAGTAGCCAAAACCGTTGAGATTACTGTCTACCGTCAGACGGCCTGTATACTTCATGATACCATAAGTAGGGACAATAGTCAAAGTAATAGTAATACTCAGTCGTCCCTAAAATATAACAGATTGTCTATAAACCAAATAAGTATCTTTCGAATAAATAGATGCTGTTTGAAAATTGACCTGCACTGCCGAAACTCTGAGAATCTTCTTCAAATGAATATCGAGGTGGAATTTTCGAGGTGCATTTAATTCTAAACATTACACTAATTGTCTTGCGATTTTGTACATTGTATGTATAAGAACTTTTGCTGTGCTTAATCTCGTTCAATTAGAAAAGTACTCGTTGCAATTCCCACTTTGTCTTCTAGGCCTCATATTTTATTATACGGCGTGAGACAATTACCTAAATATTTATTTAGAGATATTTAATCAATAATAATTTATGTCACTAAAGTGCCCAAGTTAATAAAGCTATAAATATTTGTAAAATGTTTCATGTGTTTCCTTCTAAACTTGGTACTCCGATAGCCGTACGAATTTAGTTCTATTTCAGCATCGGAACCGAATATGAATTCTATATTAAATCAAAATAGAAAACCGAAGACCTGAGTGCTTTATTTATAAAAATGACTGTCCAATAAAATATGTATTTAAAATCTATCAAAATATTCCATTTCAAAATCTATTGTTGCACTGTGGATATATCCAGTATTATATTTCTAATAAGAAATAAAAAGTGAGTATTTGATAAAAGTTTGTAAACTATGGGTGTCCCACCAACTCCTATGTGTAGTTTAAACCATGTAAGTTCTGATATTCAACTCTTACCTAGTATGAGTTACTTACGTGTATATTTGTTAACAAAGTTCAATATAAATTATGACTTGTAACCTATTGTGTAATTAGGTTAGATATCTGTATTCCAAAATCTAGTAACATATTATTAATATTAGTGCACAAATTGTATTAGTTAGAATAATCTGAATTACTAATAACATGCTTAATTAGCGAACTATTTAGACATGTTTAAGGAGGTACATTCACGGCCGGCATTACTAATACACTTCCAAAGTATCTACGTAGGTAGACATTGTCATAATATACAGACACAAGGAACTTCTAAAATAAAAATAAAAATAAAAATCTAAAATAAAAGACAATTAATGATTTGTGTGATTGAATCGTGGGTACAAAATCCGCCCAATGGTCCAATGAATTAACAAAATCTTATTTGAATCACAACGGGCATTTGAATCTCATTGTGGCTGTGTGTGTCGTTTCCCATTTCCTCTGATAACTTCCTTGATTTAATGCAAGCGTTTGGAAAGAGGTTGATCCACTAACGTACCTACCGGAGCACAGATCAAAAGCGCAAATGAATTTTGACGTATCCACACAGGGGCATATCGGATAAGCGGTGGCGAGGTATCTAGAGGTATAGTAGGTAAGTATTTACCAGCAATAAACCCGCTTGCACGCCTCCCCCACCCCGCTCAAACAACGGTACACCCACGGACTCTCGGTCTACTCATTTCGTATGCAATTTTATTCATTATTTGTAATCTACTTCAATCGAATAGGGTCTCAGTATAAATCACTTTTAGGATTTGCTCGATAGGACGTATGTAGATTGACGCTTTTAGTGTGATATTTAAATGCGATGTGTCTTTGTGCCGGTACAGTCGCGCTAATAAAGCCTGCCTTCTACGAACTCGATATGTATGAGATGCTCCACGTCAGAAACTCATTTGACTAAAACAAATAACGTTCACTTTCTTTTTATTTTCTTATGCGCACGCCTTTTAAGATGCCGATGCGTCTTTCCATTTTATTTCAATCTGTCGTTGAGGCTATAGAGCGTTTATAGGTGTAAGTGGACGGCTCATAAAAGATCACCACACATGCCTTGGCTGAAATTAAAAGAAGCCGTCGAATGAGCTACGTCCACCGGTAACTTCAAAAATAACAAGACGAGAAAATATTTTCACAGCGTGTTTATTGCAAACCGTATCACTCGGCAGCCGACAAATAAATTGAGGAAAATTTTGTAGAGACAACATAATTGACTGACAATGTTGAATCTGTTCTATCTAGCCCATTTTATAATACTTTGAACTAAACGTAATAAACGTAAACTTATTACAAATTAATGTCAAATAGCTGAGCTCTAACAACTGTATGCAAAATAAATGAAAATGTAGAGCTTTAACATGTTCTTGATTTACTGACATTGTCCCGCATTACGAATGTGTGCTGACAAACATGAGCGCAGAGATGTAAACATCAAGAAGAAGCGGTCTTGTCGTATATTGACGTACCTACTTAGTGTAAAGACTATCACATTAGACTCGTGAAACCCGAAGTTCACAATATAAACTGGACATGCAATGCGCCGTTGCCCGTGACTGTACCCTACTTAAATATGTTTGGCGTAAGTACTCATAATTATAAAAGTCTTAAACATCCTAAAAATATTGTTATTCTGTGAAAACGTCATATGAAAAACTCAGAGAAAACGTCATATTTAAGATTAAGAAAAATAACTGATATAGTGACCATTGATGTGGAGCAGGCCCACCCCCAGAACGTCGCATATTGATAAACATGTTGAAATAACAAATCCTAGCTGAACAATTTGACATTTTTTGTTGATTCTAAACTATTTGTCAGCATTAACTACACAGAAATTTTGGTATACACGTATTACAAGTAACTTTGTTAGACGAGATAGAAGGAAAACAGACGACGCAGATCTGATGTCATACTGATTAGATCCAGTTTTAATTGACGCCAAATTAAACTAGTTTGTTGTAACCGTGTACATTTTTTGTGGCAGTCCGCCTGTACGAGAATCAGCGTCAGGACGTGTGTGCATACAGTGTAGATGTGTAAGTACGCTGCGGTGTCAGTAAGTCGATGTAATGAGTCAAAGGATTAAGGTCATGGTTTAGTGCTGGCCGGCGGCAGCGGGTAACATCACGGCCGGAGCGAGAGCGGAACATAGCGTGCGGCAACGGCAGCAGCGCCGCGATGAGTGACTTTGGACCGGCGTCGCGCGCCGCTCGACCCAATTGGTCGCTCGCCGGTACCCGCCCAGAGGAGGGGGCAACGCACACAATCTCACACTCACCTAAGATAATTTATTTTATGTTATACCGTTTGAATATTTTATATCTGTGTGAGTTTTTTCGGTCGGTATGCGTTCACTGTGAAATATTCGCGCGATAAGAAAGAAGAGGGGAACAGATCGATCGGGGACGTTGCGCTTTTTATTTCGATACTTGGTGTGTTATTGTCATAGTTTAATTGTAGATGGATATCTTCTATCATCGTTTTACACCATCTTAAACACCTGGTAATATATTATTTTTACTTAGATACTGCTAAAATAGTTTAATAACCATGAAAATAAAATTAATACGGATTAGTCTATATCATAACCACAATTTAAATTGCATTAAATATAGGTACCTAGTTATGATATTCTTATTACCACTTACATTACCTACAGAACCAAACTTTTAATGGGAATTCGCATTGAGTGAAACAAGTTTGTTTATGGGACTACACAAAATATAAGCAAGTCACGAGTAAATGTACTTAATAAGCCAGTTCTATTTGTGTTGGAGATAAAACTTCGTATAGGTTACTTGGTACGCAATACAGACATAAGTGAAACACATTCAAAAGACCGTTTAATGCTGTCACCGCTAACATGTTTCCACCGCTAAAGCGACCCCCGTAATATAAGCTATCGAGTACACAACAGGCCACAACCGTCGACTTACAGACAGACTTGTATAGCTACTCGAGTACGATTCACATGGAAGGAAAATAAAAATTACAAATGTCGTGGTTACCTTTAATCAAATGCAAAGCTATCATTAAGTCGACGCTTCGGCAAACTCGCTCGTCGTGCGCATCGTCACTGTTAATTATCACAATATATATGTATAAAATAAAATAAAAGAGACCGCTTCGTACCAATACTAACATAAAAAATACGAGAAAAGAAAGAGAAGCTTTAAAAAAGAAAGGAGTGCATCTACCCCCACCTCCGGTGGCCCCCACCGCGTCGGGCCGCCCCTGTGGCGGGCGCCACCCACCGCACCGCAAAAATCGAGAGCGTCGACGGCGCGCGGGGTCAAACGGCGACGCGAGCGTGAAAAGAAGGAGCGGTGTGCGAGCATCACGCACACAGCAGCGAGTGTGCGTGTGCGCGCCGAGAGGGACGGCCGACGAAAGAGCAGGACAGCGGCGCCAATTACTATCACCTGGCGGGCAGCTACCGCATTACCCACTGCCGCCGCGCGCGCGACCACGCGCCCGCTGCACCACGCGGCTCGCTCCGCTCCTGTGACGCTCCGCTCTATCCCGACTCTACACCGCAATCGATATTCGCGGACTCGCGGCTACCCACTGTGCACCGTCGCGAGTGCATCCCGTGCTACGCTCGCTGGTTCTCGCTCGTCTCGGGGATGCACCGCAGCTACATCGGCCCGCGTCCTGAATAGTGCCAACGCGCGACAAACATGCAACTGTGAAGTGTGTGCGGACAGTGACACAGACATTAAACTAATCGTGATCGTTTACAAGTTTTCTGGCGACTTACACAGAACGAGATGACTTCCCAGTTCGCCTTCAGAGGATCTCCCCCCAATCAGGTAAATACACTTTAAATAACATCACAAAACTTTTTTGTATTTTTCAAATTAATAATAACTAAACAAATTATTGCAGAGCGATGTAAGATGATATATGTGAATGTGCTGTACTTCTATGCCATTAACAATAGAAGTGATATGTTCATGTGGTTTAAAAAGATAGGCTTTGTTTTTTTATGATAAAATAAAATGAAAATAATTATTTTTATCGATAGTGTTTTTCTTAATAATTTCCTCTCATTTTAAGTTATAAGTATCACTAAAGTGCACATAGGTAAATACATAATAAAATAATTGTACCATCAACGACTGATGTAATTTCAGACACTGTGTAAACAAATAAACATACGCATAAAGCAAAAGATAAAAATTAAAGTAACATCGCAAGATAATCCAGCAGACAATAAATTTTATTAGATAATGTAAATAATTAAATATCGAAAAGTTTCGATACGAAGAATAATATTCATCGCACTACTTACTCTAGATTGTACGAAGTGGCTAAAACAATCGAAACTTAGTAATCAATCGGTTTCAAATAGAAATTAATCGATGTAATTCAGTCTGAAATTTAAGCACATTATAGCTGTAATGAAGTGCAAATTGTTTCCGAAAATATATTAATTGCAAATAGAAACTGCTTCAAGCGTCTGTTTTTCTTTCTAGTCACAATACCACGTATCGGTACAAAGTCAATAACTTTTCTGATACCGATGGTGTATAAAGTGAACCTATCCAATTTTTTGGTATTTATTATTTTCTTGTTTCTATATTTATTATTATTTATAATAATATCTTTGGCAAGCATTGATAAACATATTTTGCCGACGCAATCATTCTAATCGAAAAGATACTTTTATCTCCACGTTTTTATCAGTAGTGAAATGACTTTATTTTTAAGATAACTTAAAATTAGGAGATTATTTGGTTCCCATGTACCTATTTTTCATTTATTACAGAGAAGTCATTTCGTCCTAAAACTCGTTCTAATTTATAAATAAGTATTTAAAACTGAAGAGTTTAACTCGTCGAGTACCGTCATTATAGACACAATTATAGAACAATAGGTTGCGGTCACCGGTGACCGCGCGGTGTTTGACAGTTTTTGAAATTTCAGAGTAGAGAATGTTACACACATAAACATATCCGTAACTTATACTACAAGCACCTTACACATTGATTGGTACCCAATATCTAAGTAATTAAAATCTATCTAAGTACTCATTAAGTAGGTTGCTACAATTAATTGTTCGCAGAACCATAGCTTCATTCAGATATTCCAAATATACCTATTGTCCCAATACCCTAGATAAACTTAAAAAAAGCACTTGCAACTACCCACAATCAGTAAGAAGATTTAATCATTGTAAAAAGAAAAACACTAGGAAAATATAGTCGATTCAGTAACTCTTTCTTAAATAATACTTCTATTTCCTATAGAAGTTTTATAGGTAATCATAGATACAGATATTAAAGAGGTTATTAAATACTTATTATCGAAATTGTGTAAAAACAATTCTTAGGTAAATCGAATCACAAAACCATGCAAGAAAAAGTTTAAAAGAATATTACTTTTTCCGTAAGTCAATTGCATCATAACTTTCAATACGTGCTGAATAATCAATCAATTAGTTTATCAGCCACGTTTGTAATTAAGACAATGAATGGATGCATATTAAAATCTGTACGATAAAACGATTATAACGAAGCAACGTTAAACAATAAGTTTAGGACAATTGTTATAAAATCATTCACAAACTCTATTGCCAGTTAGGTTAGGTTATAGAATAGATTGATGTACTGCTTTTTCAAAATATTCTTAAGCAAATTGAATTTGTTCAGTAGGTTCAAAAGTAGGTGTATTATTCCTTTATCAGCCACAGTAATACTATATTTCAGCGTGACAGCCTGCAAATCTTCATCTAGAGTATCTTCTATCATCTTTATAATAATGTTACTCAATGTCCAAAGAATTACATAAACCCTAGATGTCAATTCATTTTTATTTTTAATAGTTAGCTTTGTGAAAGAAATCGAAAAAAATTACAACATAAAACAAAATAAGTATCAAGTAAATAAAAATACAAATTATGTAATACTTCACTAATGTTCATGAAACGTAAGTTTACAGAAAACAAAAAAAATATTATCGATTGCCAAGAAAATGTTTTCACCAGTACCTAGAAATATAATAAAAATATAGCGTGACAACTTCACACAAATGAGACGAATCAATATAAAATATTATTCTACTTGAAATAGTAGAACCACACGTTACAATCAACTCTATCGTTTGAAGGAACACAGTCATCAATAACTTTAGAAACAGCAAAACCAGTTAGAACGAGTTTTTATGTAAATTTATGTTGTATGTGTAAAATCAGGCCTAAATGTTCTTTGTTTCGAACAATTTAAACGCTACGTTGGTACATGTTAAATGTAAATTAAATTGTTCTTGACAATTCTATGAAAATAATTATAATATCAGTGTATTCCAACTAGATTTTCACAAATTAGTCGTTACATGAAACCTATAAATACATCATCTTTATAAACATACTACTTGTTTGTATATAATATCACCATTACTTATACTGTACTTTCCCAACTCACTTATTACAATACCATCTTCTGAAGTACTTTCGTTTCCAAATCAAATACAATCCCCATATTAAGTGAGTATATTATTTAAAAACAAAACATTATCTCTCAAGTGGTTGTGATTCATAAATCAATTATTGGATTTCCTGTCACCCTTATTTGTTATCCGATAACAGTTTATTAAATTTTGCACTCATATTAATATCGGCCAGTTATCTAATAATACGGTTAGTTTTGCGAGCCATAATTAAAATGGTGTGAAGACTACGTACGCCAACGAATGTTAATAAAGATAATATATGGAATGGTTCGGTCAGTGGCCGAGTGCGTGCCGTATGCGATCTAATTTCGCTATCTCCTTGATAAGAGGGAGCCACAGTCATTCCCTCGACAGGGAGAGGATTATCCTCATTATTTCCCAGTTTTGAAATGTAAGCTCCATCGACGACTGGACGTAGCACTCTGAGACTTTTAACACTCAATAGTCTTGCCTCGATCCTGTTGCAGTTATGGCTCTTTATTTTTTTCTTCATTTCATAATATGAGACCGTAATAAAGTCTGACTTTAAATAAGCTTAATAAGAATTCAAAGTCTTTTCTTTAATAGCAGTATGGTCCCATTGCTTTCATGGTACGTTTTTATTTAAATAGCAATTAAGTTCAAGAATGGGCTGTAAACGTTTATACTGCGTTGTAGCGTTCGCTTTAATACCTCAGACACGTTAAATCTCGGGTGGCATCATTTTACTTTCCACAAACTTAGACGGGGATTGATGTCTACCAAGATTAGTTTTGGTATTGATCAAATTCATTGTCTACGAATTACTCCAAATACTGCACAAATATTTTTTATTTTTAACTAGAAAGTTCAAACAAATTTTATAACACAACAATATCGCGTCGAATTTTCCTAATTCTCATCATATATTTTATTCTAAGACAAGGATTTAAAATCTTTACATTTATCTTATCTCTTTAAGGATTGAAAGTAAATTCCAAAAGGATAGAATACTTTAGTGGCTCCTTGTATAAAATTCAGGAATAAATAAATATAAATATTGAAATCAAACAATCTATACATTTGATAGTTGGTTTATTTAAATAAAAATGTAGGAAGATACGTTTAGTAAATGAAACTACGTTTTATTGTTAGTAGTTTAACATTATGTAGCTCCCTCATTATCTACTTATTCTTTTGTTCTTATGTTCATTTCCATTTGATAAACAAGAGGGAACAAAAGACGACAAAGTTGTTTTTATTTAGGTCATTCGAGACTCGTCAAGCTTACGTTCCAAGTGTCGAGTTCCAGATTAATATTTTGTGAATGCGTTCGTGAAGTGGAGGCCAATTCTAAGGAGGAATACACAATTGCGCAATCGAAGTAAGTAGGAGAAATTATTGACGAAACTTTATAATAGAATTTTTCATACTAATCATAATGTTGATTATATTAGAAGTGCAGAACAGTAAGAGCTGATAAAATTTTCAGATTGTATTTTAATAAGTTCTCGAGGCTGTATAAGTACTTGTGCACGGAGGTTTACTCCTTGCGGTAATTGAAGGTGGGTTCGAGAGGCGAGGCGCGGAGGCGTGAGCCAGCTCTCCTGAACTATGGGAGCCTACTTGGTTTGCTTGTGGTCACATACAGTGAACACGCGTGCACGACCTCGGGACACGTAAACCAAAGAACAAAACCAACACCATTCATTTAACTTCATAATGAGCCATGAACAATCTTCGTCATTTTTGCAGTTTGCATTCGACCGCTTACTGACCCCTTTTTGTTCAGAATCGTAATTTGACGTTTGGTACTCGTTTCGACTTTAATAATGCGTACCTAATAAAAAGCCATGATTAAGTAAATGTTCGTCTGGTGAGCTATTGTTCTTGATAATGAGCCAATGTTTAATGATATGCAAGTGTGCTTTTTACATTAGTGTAACAGGATATCGCGTCGGGCTTTTGCTAATTATGTACTTGTAGTATTGTCATTGTTTGCAATAACTTCATTCTAGACGGAAATCTATTCGTCGTTGCTTTGTTCCATTAATTATAAATGCTTACTACTAATTTATTACAGAAGTTATTTATAGGTCTGTATATCATACAAATACATTTATAGCAATTGTATTTTATTTATTTAGCAAGTATTTGTTAATATTTTAGTCAAAATCGAATTTATTAGGGACAATCGACACAATATGACTTGTTCCAATGTATACAATTTGATATACATTAATTTACGGTCTATTTACTTTTTCAATGACATGTCAAACTAAATAACTGAATTAAGTGGTATGCAAGTTACAAAAATAGGTGCTTGTGGTTATTTCTGGAATGCCAAAAAATCCTTAAAAATAAAGTTTATTAATAGATAAGTACGAGGTTAATAAATTGG